TATATATATATATATATATATATATATATATATATATATATATAAATCTGCAGCACAGTGAAGCCGCAGTAACTGAATCGTGATACAGTGAGGGACGACTGTATCCTGGTTTCATTAAAGAGTTGTTATAGATGCTGATGGCTGTGGGCAGGAAGGATGTCTTGTAGTGGTCTGTCTTACAGCAGATCTGAAGAAGTCCAGTCTGCTCTGTCCCCTCCTGTAGACGACTTCACTGTTGCATCTCCAGTCCAGTCTGTTGTCCAGGTGAACCCCAAGGTATTTAGACCTTGTGAATTTATATATGTATATTATACTATATTAATCCATCCATCCATCCATTTTCTTCCGCTTATCTGTGGTTGGGTCGCGGGGGTAGCAGCCTAAGTAGGGAGGCCCAGACTTCCCTCTCCCCAGCCACTTGGGCCAGCTCCTCTGGGGGAATCCTGCGGCGTTCCCAGGCCAGCCGAGAAATATAGTCCCTCCAGCGTGTCCTGGGTCTTCCCCTGGGCCTCCTCCCGGTGGGACGTGTCTGGAACACCTCACCAGGGAGACGTCCAGGAGGCATCCTAACCAGATGCCCGAGCCACCTCAACTGGCACCTCTCGACGTGGAGAAGCAGCGGCTCTACTCTGAGTCCCCCCGGATGATCGAGCTTCTCACCCTGTCTCTAAGGGAGAGCCCAGACACCCTGCAGAGAAAACTCATTTCAGCCACTTGTATCCGAGATCTCATTCTTTCGATCACAACCCAAAGCTCATGACCGTAGATGAGGGCAGGAACGTAGATCGATCGGTAAATTGAGAGTTTCGCCTTTTGACTCAGCTCTCTTCACCACAACAGACCTGTACAGCGCCTGCACTATATTAATATATCATCTATATATATTTATATATTTATTTATAATTTATTAATAACATTTTAAATTTGTACCTTATAAATAGCACATTGTGCAGCATATTTACACTTGTTGTTGTGTTTGTGTGTTTAAACATTAGCAGTTTGCTCATTTTGTGTAGGAACCCAAAAAACAAACAAAGAGGACAAAAACAGTTTCCTGTTGAGGAAACAGAACAAGTTGCTAGTCTGCTGACCTCGGTGACTGCTGAATTAACAGATTTTAGCATTCGGTCAATGAAGACGTGCTGTTTATTCAAGTTCAGCTGTGAGATCCTGGCAGGGTTCATGAAGCCTGACATGCTCACCTCATAGGCCCTCCTGTGGTCTGGATAGGCTTTACAGTTGAGTGACTCATCTCCAGCCAGATCAATGGCCACCACACCATCGTGTCGATATTTCTTACACAGCTCCACAACGTCCATGGACCAGTCTGAAGAATGTAAAACTGAATATTACAATAGAGTTTGGCCCTGAGGACTGAAACTAAAGCCAGATGATGTGAAGTCTGATCATAGTGTTGCAACATCTGCATAAAACTGAGGCTATAAAAAGTCCATGAACACATGGATCAACATGCAGGCTGACAATAATCAGGAAAATCTTTTTTTTTTAAGTACACTTCATCATGCTGTTAACTGAGTTTCTTATTCCTGCCTTCAGTTAGCTGAGAAGACAAAATGTGCAGACTAAATGTGAAACCTCTTCCAGCAGCTGGCTTTATTTAGACAAGTTCAAGCAAAACATTTGATGCCGTTTCAAGCCTCCTTGGTGCAGGACGTGGAGCTGTCTGTGTTTTCATCTTCTCTGCATAAAAACCAACACATTATTTGATCTAAACGTTGATTTCGTTTTCTGTCCCACCACAATTTGCACCTTAACATTTATCTACACTACACTATCTTATTTAAAATATTTTTGTAAGAAGTTTCCTGATATACAGAAAAATATGATTGCAAGCTATTCACTGCAGATATTTAATACTTTCATACAGAAATACACAACAGCATCTGAAATATCACATTATTCTAAAACACCACAAAGGAAGAAATTAGTATTAATATGTAATGGCATCTGTGGATTTTCCAACATTAGGTTACAGAGAGGGTGGTGTGAGTTGTGCTGCTGCTAACAGCAACGCCTCGTGTTTCCACAGTTCATGTTACAGCTCTCTGAGGCACTGCATGGCAACACTATGCTGCAAATACTGCAAACACAAGTCAAAAACAGCTGGGAGCGGTGCAGAAATGCGAATAAAAATCAAAATTTCAAAAGAAATCTTGTGTATTTATGTTTTGTCAACTTAATATGATTTGTTCATGGAGCTTAATTTCTGCTTTTCAGAGATGTAACATATTGCGACGGTAAAAATGTTTCCACATTGTGAAGTTGTGTTTTTTCTTTTATCACTTTTTTGGGTCACAAAACTCATCTTGTGGAAGAGATTAACACTGCTTGACATGTGACATACAATTACTATTTTTTTTTGTCTCATTCCTTTGGCAAACTCATCCTAATGAGCAACAATTCATGGTTTTGACTGTCACTTCTTTCCATCCAAATGTTTCACACATTTTTTATATGGGACAGATTCTGCCCTTCAGAATCAGAATCAGAATAAACTTTATTATCATTGCACCAAGATACAACGAGAACATGTACGTACAGTCGTCCGAAAGATGGGCGGAGTGCACGAAGCTGCTACTATGAAAGCGCGGCCCTTTTATTCTTATTCAGAATAATATTTTGCTTAGATGAGGAAAGGGAAGAAAACATGAGGAGAGACGATATAAAAAAAAAGATCTCTCACGTCCTAGACAGGGCACGATTTGAGGCATCAAAAAATCTACCACAGCAAAGCAATATAAATAGACGTGATACATATAGGCCGGTGAAGACATTGAATTCTAAGGGCAGGTTGTAGCATAGTGCAGAGCCCCCCCAGCCATTGTCCAGATAAGAGGTGACGTTCATCTTCAGCTCAGTTGAGGTTCTGTTACATGTCCACGGCCTTGGGGAAGGGAGGGGTGAGGAGACAGTCAAAGCATCTTTGTTGTTTTCAAAACATCCCAGGAAGAGTTGAGATAAGTCCGGAGTCAAGGCCACAGTTTGGGTCAGGCAGAACTCATGAGTAGTTGTTTCTGCCTTTTAAAGTCTCGCTGGTACATATTCTCTGATGGAAACTACAAACAGCCAAATTGATTTTTTACACTGAAAGTCGAGCTCACAGCTTCTCCAAGATTATTTCCCCTTCATGTGTGCTGCTATAGAGTCCACAGTCCTGATAACAGCTGCTCCAGCTCCCTGCTGCGGCTCCACAAACTCAGTCTGAGTGCTGCCGAGCGTCGACACAGCCACACAAATTTGTAGAAAATCTAGAATTCACCAGCCAAACAGCAAAAAAACAGTTGTCATCATGAATCCAATTTGTTTCCGTCGAGGTAAGAGGGTCCTCCTTACCCTGTCTCCTGTCGGGAGAAGTTTATCAATTTTATTGAGAGACCAGCTGATCCTTCGAATTAGGAGGTATGCAGGAAAAAAAAGAGACCCTGTAAAGGTTCACAGGACGAAAGAGTGCAATCAGGGAAGCGGGGGTCATACAGAGCGCCGGGAAACACGTTTGTCTTCACCGGAGTACAGAGAGAAAAACTGTCTGTCCAGAACTAATGTGCAGAGTCTGGTTCCAAAAATACAACATGGCAGCTCCCATAAACCAGTCCTACTGGTTTCTTTGTCACCAACAAGAGAAAGCAGGGACAGAGATTAGTATAAAAATTTATATACGTATTGATGGTCCATCCCAGATCTCTCTGAGCCCAGAGACGTCATCTGCACCTTTAAACAAGGGTTAAAGGGTCAAAAGGCTTTTGTTTGTGCACACTAACATTGTAGGAGTCACTTGTGGGTGTGCATGTACATAACTCAGTATTGTAGAGACATTTCCTAAAGTAACTCCATGGTCTTGTTATGGAGGGCGGAATGTGACAAAATGAAGTAAATAAATACATAATACATACATAACAATTAAATGTATGTCTCGTGGTTCTTTCTAGTTGGGGAATCACTGATGTTGATGTGTTGCTATCTGAGGGATCACAGGGTTTAGCCTGAGTTTGTGTTTTTAACATTTACATGCCAAAATCCCTCTAGATTCCTTGAAATGCTCAGCAGCATATTAGACTGTCATTGACTAATTATACAAATTATTTCTAATTAATTAATGGTTTTTAAGTGGTTAAGTGATTTTGTTGTATATTTGTCCAAACAATTTCTGTCAAAATCCCCTCCCTGGGCTGCCACCTTACCGTGGTGGAGGGTTTGAGTGTCACAATGATCCTAGGAGCTATGCTGTCAGGGGCTTTACGCCCTTAGTAGGGTCACCCATGGCAGACAGGTCCTAGGTGAGGGACCAGACAAAGTGTAGCCCAAAGACCCCGATGATGAGAGAAATAAATGGACCTAATGTTCCCTTGCCCGGACGTGAGTCACCGGGGCCCCACTCTGGAGCCAGGCCTGGAGGTGGGGCACGCGGGCGAGTGCCTGGTGGCCAGGCTTTTACCCATGGAGCTCGGCCGGGCACAGCCCGAAGAGGAGACGTGGGTCCCCCTTCCCATGGGCTCACCACCTGTGGGAGGGGCCAAAGGGGTCAGGTGCAATGTGGGATTGGTGGTGGCCGAGTGCGGGGACCCTGGCAGTCTTATCCTCGGCTACAGAAGCTGGCTATTGGGACGTGGAATGTCACCTCACTGGTGGGGAAGGAGCCTGAGCTAGTGTGTGAGGTTGAGAGGTTCTGGCTAGAAATAGTCAGACTCACCTCTACGCATGGCTCTGGCTATGGAACCAGTTTCCTTGAGAGGGGCTGGACACTCTTCCACTCTGGAGTTGCCCCTGGTGAGAGGCGCCGAGCAGGAGTGGGCATACTTATTGCACCCCAACTTGGTGCCTGGGTGCTGGGGTTCACCCCAGTGAATGAGAGGGTGGCCTCCCTCCACCTACGTGTGGAGGGATGGGTTCTGACTGTCGTTTGTGCTTATGCACCAAACGGCAGTTCAGATTATCCACCCTTTCTGGAGTCCTTGGAGGGGGTACTGGAAAGTGCACCTCCTAGGGACTCCCTTGTTCTGCTGGGGGACTTCAATGCTCATGTGGGCCATAGGGTTGTGGTTGGGAGGAACGCCCCCCCCCGATCTGAACCAGAGTGGTGTTCTGTTGTTGGACTTCTGTGCTCATCATGGATTGTCAATAACAAACACCTTGTTCAAGCATAAGGGTGTCCATATGTGCTCTTGGCACTAGGACACCCTAGGCCACAGTTCGATGATCAACTTTGTCATCGTCTCATCTGATCTGCGGCCGCATGTCTTGGACATTCAGGTGAAGAGTAGGGCGGAGCTGTCCACTACCTGGTGGTGAGTTGGCTCCGATGGTGGGAGAGGATGCTGGTCAGACCTGGCAGACCCAAACAAGCAGACCCAAATGTATTGTGAGGGTTTGCTGGGAAAGTCTGGCAGAGACTCCTGTGAGACGGAGTTTTAACTCCCACCTCCGGGAGAACTTTGAACATGTTCCGAGGGAGGTGGGAGACATTGAGTCTGAGTGGACCATGTTTCGTGCCTCTATTGTCGAGGCGGCTTACCGGAGCTGCGGCCGCAAGGTTGTCGGTGCCTGTCGCGGCGGCAACCCTCAAACCCGATGGTGGACACTGTCGGTGAGGGATGCTGTCAGGCTGAAGAAGGAGTCCAATCGGACCTTTTTGGCCTGTGGGACCCCGGAAGCAGCTGATGGGTACTGGCAGTCCAAGCGACATGCGGCTCGGATGGTCGCTGAGGCAAAAACTCGGGCATGGAGGAGTTCGGAGAGGCCATGGAGAATGACTTCCGCACGGCTTCGAGGCAATTCTGGTCCACCATCCTGCGTCTCAGGGGGGGAAAGCGGTAAGCCACCAACACTGTTTATAGTGGGAGTGGTGTGCTGCTGACCTCAACTCGGGATGTTGTGGGTCGGTGGGCGGAATACTTTCAAGACCTCCTCAATCCCACTGGCAAGTCTTCCACTGAGGAAGCGGAGGCTGGGGACTGTGAGTCGGGCCCTCCAATCTCTGGTGCTGAGGTCACCGAGGTGGTTAAAAAGCTCCTCGGCGGCAGGGCCCCAGGGGTGGATGAGATTCGCCCGGAGTTCCTTAAGGCTCTGGATGTTGTAGGGTTGTGTTGGCTTACGCGACTCTGCAATATTGCGTTGACATTGGGGGAAGTTCCCCTGGATTGGCAGACTGGGGTGGTGGTCCCCCTATTCAAAAAGGGGGACCGTAGAGTGTGTTCCAACTACAGGGGAATCGCGCTCTTAAGCCTTCCTGGTAAGGCCTATTCGGGGGTTCTGGAGAGGAGGGTCTGTCAGATAGTCGAACCTTGGATTCAGGAGGAGCAGTGCGGTTTCCGTCCTGGCCGTGGAACACTCTCAGCAGGGTCCTGGAGGGTGCGTGGGAGTTTGCCCAACCAGTCTACATGTGCTTTGTGGACTTGGAGAAGGCGTTCGACCGCATCCCTCGGGGAACCCTGTGGGGGGTACTCTGGGAGTATGGGTTACCGGGCCCTTTGATATGGGCTGTTAGGTCCCTGTATGACCAGTGTCAGAGCCTGGTCCGCATCTCCGGCAGTAAGTCGGGCTTGTTCCTGGTGAGAGTTGGACTCCACCAAGGTTGCCCTTTGCCACCGATTCTGTTCATAACTTTTATGGACAGAATTTCTAGACGCAGCCAAGGTGTTGAGGGGATCCATTTTGGTGGCCTTAGGATTGCGTCTCTGCTTATTGCAGAAGATGTAGTCTTATTGGCTTCATCAGATCGTGATCTACAGCTTTCGCTGGAGCGGTTCGCAGCCGAATGCGACACGGCCGGGATGAAGATCAGTTCCTCCAAATCCGAGGCCATGGTCTTGAGCCGGAAAAGGGTAGAGTGCCCTCTCCGGGTCAGGGAGGAGGTCCTACCCCAAGTGGAGGAGTTCAAGTATCTTGGGGTCTTGTTCACTTATCAGGGAAAAATGGAGCGTGAGATCGATAGGCGGATAGGTGCAGCGTCTGCAGTGAAGCAGGCGCTGTACAGGTCTGTCATGGTGAAGAGAGAGCTGAGTCAAAAGGCGAAGCTCTCAATTTACCGATCGATCTACGTTCCTACCCTCATCTATGGTCACGAGCTTTGGGTTGTGACCGAAAGAATGAGATCTCGGATACAAGCAGCCGAAATGAGTTTTCTCCGCAGGGTGTCTGGGCTGTCCCTTAGAGATAGGGTGAGAAGCTCGATCATCCGGGAGGGACTCAGAGTAGAGCCGCTGCTTCTCCACGTCGAGAGGTGCCAGTTGAGGTGGCTCTGGCATCTGGTTAGGATACCTCCTGGACGCCTCCCTGGTGAGGTGTTCCGGACACGTCCCACCGGAAGGAGGCCCAGAGGAAGACCCAGGACACGCTGGAGGGACTATATTTCTCGGCTGGCCTGGGAACGCCTCGGGATTCCCCCGGAAGAGCTGGCCCAAGTGGCTGGGGAGAGGGAAGTCTGGGCCTCCCTACTTAGGCAGCTACCCCCGCGACCCGACCCCGGATAAGCGGAAGAAAATGGATGGATGGATTTCTGTGAATGCTGCTTGAAATCTCAGCTGTTTGTGTCAAGATGACTACTTATTTTAACATAATCTGATTTTAATAAATATTTATCAATGCCAACATTGCAGCATGATTAAAACTTGATCAGGTGCAAGTGACAGTTCTGTTACCCTCAAACGTGTGTTGTTCTAAATGCTAAGTAGAAAACACATCTATTAAACCATAAACTTATTAAACATTGTAGTTGTGAAATTTAAACTATTCACTTCATCTGAAAAGTGTGAATACATTTAGTTTTCAACCTCTACTGTCACTGTGTGGGCTGCACCATTTGAAAAGGAGTGAAAAGTTAAACGTCTTTTGTTGCACTTCCTCTTGTGCTGATCCAGTTTCTATGTAACGAGCAGCGCCGGGTTTTGGGACAGACAGACGACAGCACATGCAGGAACTTTGTCTCACAAACTTGTATGGGCAGACAGGAGGATGAACATTACTTGGCATGTGGCGCATGCAGCATAGAATGGACCTGGCTTTGATATTGAAGGCCCTCTCCCCCTCACTGAGGCCCTCGTTAACAAGACGCACCACCTCATCTGGGCTCAAGTCACCTCTGAGCAAAACATAAATCAAAGAAACACATTTAATGTATTGCAGAACAACAAATGTTTGACAAAAGGCCTGGTTGATTAAAAAAAAGGTAAATCTTACTCTTTTTGGTTCCATTGAATTGGGTCCACTTTAGTGTTGGCTAGTAAATGTGGACTGTATCTGACCTCCACATACACGACTCCTTCCTTAGCTTTGTCTTCCACAAACTCAAAGGCAACCCTCTTAATGGCCTCTCTGTCGCCACTGCAAAAGAAACAAGGAATGAACAGCTTTGCCCTCTGGCTCTGAAAACTTATCTCTGTTGTAAACTGTCGAACCATTAGCCTCGGCTAATCAGCTCCTTAACAGCAATGACTTTAAAGATGAGTGTAATAATGATACGATATGTAATATGCTATAAAACTATATCTACATTTATATAGCTACTTAGTTGATTTGAACGTATCAACGCTAAAGGACAACACGTGTGTGTTTGTGTCTTATAGCAAAATATCTGAACAAGTAAACACACTTTAATAAAACTCTCATAAAGTAATCACTGGATGGACATATTGTAACTTTAACAATAGCTTTGATTAACTTAACTTTTGGATTCAACCCATGTTAAGACGACTGCCAGGGTCAAATGACCATGACAATTGAATGAAACACAAAAATGTCAATAAATCAAACAGTTTAACATATAT